TTTAAAAGTCCCCCGCCCCCGCGAGCACGCGCGTCGCCACGTAAACACGCGTCGGGTGCGCCTACGCATGAAAACGATGAACGCGCTACACATGTTGGGTATCGCCGCGCACGCCGGAGTGAGACCAATAATTCTAGGGCCAGTATTTTGGGGTATCTCTAAATTGATGACCTGTGGGGGCTTTTAAAGCGTCTTTTATTGACTTTTTGGGGTACTGCAGTTTTTCGCCGTTTCACGGTCGCACGCAATCTGTAAACTGGGCATGTTGGGTATCGTTTTACTCGCTGTAACCTCATCTTTTATATTTCATTAAAAAAATGGGTAATTTGTTGTGTTTTGGGGCATTTAATTAAATTTGTCACTAAATTATGGGGTTTAATAAGGAGTTGCGCTAATATTGCGCAACATAAAAATTTTCAACTACCACCATTTTATTCTATAGGGTCTTGGCATTCAGAAAATATATAATGTTGGGGGGTTTTATGTCATTTTCAGGCCTAAAATGTAGAATATAACATGGGTGCAAAAAATGAAAAAAGGGCCTCAGTCATGAAGGGGTTAATGTTGATTTGTAGTGTTTGCATTGACATACTGTTGATTGTATTACGTTACCTATATGGCCGCCTGTAGCCGGCAAGCACTGTACAACATGCTGTTTGTAATTACCTTGAAAACCCAATAAATATTTGGATACAAAAAAAGACCGGTGCTGCCCAATTCATGATTAGTGGATAGTTAGTTCTGTGAACCAACCAGTAAGCGATACACTCGCTATGGCGTGTAACAGGGTGATCGTTACCCACAGCAAAGGAGGAGACGTAAGCATTGATTGGGTAGTGCCACTTCTTTCAAAGCTCTCCACTGGTTACCTGAAGTTGGGAAGTGTGGTGACACAGCTTGCGCCATGTGTTCATAAAGGTATCTCTGTGCCAACGAAGCTACCAAGATAACAGACAAGTGCTTGGCTCAAGACCTAGACACCCAACATTTGTTTTCTAAACAATTTGGCCACACTATTCTTATTTGGAGCTCCAGGGTGAAAGGACAGACCATGACAACATTGTGCAGGTCCAAGCAAAAAGATCAAATGCCCAAGTTAAAGTGTATCTTAAAGGAGAACTATGGGGTTAAGTCTTTCCCCCATAGTTCTCCTTAGGGTAACGGGAGGACACAAACTAGCGTCCTCCCATCACCCTAGGCTCAGTATACTGCGAGCTGTAGCTCGCGATATGCTGAGACGCCGCAGCTGAAGCAGATCCCGACAATTGTGCCGGGATCCGCCCAGCTGCGTGACTGACAGCTGGCTCTGCCTATCTAGAGGCAGAGCCAGCTGTACCCGCTCCCTCCCCCATCCGTTCCGCCAGTCAGCGCTGGCAGATCGGAGCGGGGAGGGGGGAATCCAGCCCCTCCCCTGTCACAGCAGAGAGCCGTGACAGCATCGAGAGGTGAGCGAACGCCGATATGTGTTCGCTCACTTCCCGATCTACTGAGCCGACCTGTGACAGTCTCATTGTCACAGTTCGGCTAGAACTATGAGGTGAGTGAAAAGCACTCCCCCCATAGTTCTCCTTTAAGCTAATTTTGTTTTTCATTTTGGATGGAGTATTATTATTATTATTACATAGTATTTATATAGCGCCAACAGTTTGCGCAGCGCTTTACAATATAAGGAAGACATTACAGTTACAATACAATTCAAGACA